ATTAATTTAAAAAAAGTTAATCAAAAGTATAGCAATTTTAAGCGATTTTCCTAATTCATGTTTGATATTCCGCACCCATCAATCGAAACAGAAATAATCACTCATGTGTCCACAAATCGGATCTGTGATTTATAACGACTTTAAGCAGAACATAATGCACTCAGACTTGGAATTATCTCGACTACATTTGAGGCAGCCCCGCGAAAAGCAGCCAAATTAATTACAGCAGTTTGTAAGACACACGCACTACAAGTCAGCGCAGTCCCCCTGGAAAATCCACTCGCCCGAAAGTCCACGCTTATCCGACGGTTTGTTTCCCCCGGTTTTGTTGCCCCTTGTGGAGTGTCGCTGGATGCAGTTGCAGTTGCATCCAGTGGGATCCGCGGGGTCTGGGCCTTTGTCTTGCACTTGCCATGCATCCGTCAACACAATGTTGTTGTTCTGCTGGCTCACGACTCCAGCGGACACAAAGTCCTTGACTCGCATTTTTGATAAACAACGTGTCAACTTTGTCGACATAAACCATAATCTTCAATGTCAGTTTGACTTACAACTCGTGTACTTTTCACTACTCCAGCGACTGGTAATCACGTCTGGGTCTCGACACTGCGACTTTGGATCCTCCGTGGCAGTGGGTGTGTAGGTATGAGTTCGGCCGAAAGTGAAGGAAATTCTTCTTAGTCTGGCAGCTGCAGCGGGAGTAGTTTGTTTTTCGGGAACGCGTGCCGCCCTCCGATTAATAAGTGGCAGCAACTGCTCCTGGAGTGGAACCTACTCCCAGATCATTAGCGTAATTAAATGTGGATGAAAAATTTCACTTTATTTAGCGTGCGTCTCTGGCCTTGCTCATAACTCGAAAAAAACCGAAATACAATTAATCAGACGGAGGAGAGGCAAAGGCATGTGGCCCAGAGTCTGAGGCACATTTCCCCCCGCCCTTTGGCGGCACCTAGGAATTAAAGTAAGTGTCGGGCGGTCCGAACGACCCTGCCACATGACGCACGCACTTCGAAGTCCCTTTTCCTTCACTTCGATAGTCTGCTACTGTTGTTTCCTTTTTCCTCCTCGGTCTGGCTGACAACAGAATGTTGTCAGCTTAATTTTTTAATAATGCTAAATTTAGCCAACGGAGCTACGGGGGCAATCAACAAGTCCTGGCAGCCATGTAATTTCACTAAGTGCAAGCAGCCAGCGATGCGAGCCGTCCCCCAGCCGATCTTCTCCAGAATCTCGGGTAGTGCGAATTTATCGTCACTTGCTCGAAGCGTGACATTGAAATTGTAAATTAGCAGGGCATCGGGAGGAGTCGTTCCAGGGATGAGTTTGGGGGCATTTTGGCGCCATAGAATTACTGCAAATTATATATTGAAACGTTTCAGAGGCAATTATAGGATACAGTGGCATTATTTTGACAAGATAAGACTTATTTCTTCGGAGATTGATTTAAATTAAAAGGACCCTCCACCATTTCTGAAATTTAATAAGATACTTCAAATATAAAGTATGAAATAGTATAATACGCGTTTATACAATGTTGAGTACTCTAGCACAAAATATAATTTTAAAGAATGTCAAAAAATCAAAAAATAATCTTAATGGCTATTTGGATTTTCTGGCCTTCTCAACTTATTCAGGTTTTTTAGTTTGTTAAGAATGATTGAGAACTTTCAAATATTTCTAATGCAAAAAAAACTGATTGTTAATAAGGTCTTATCTTTCCATCAAAATAATAAAAAAAAATATTTTACAAAATTTGGTATTACCAATCTTAAGAAGGAAAAGAATGATGATTCCAAAAATGTTCATATGTTTAAATTTTGGTTTCCCATCTTAACCAAGAAATTAATAAAGTTCTGTACTTGTCTTAATAGAAAGAAATTATTTAAATAAATAAAATATTTCGAATATAAACAAAAATTTAATTTTTAAGATACCTATTTAGCTCTCTTGAACCAATTATCGAAATAGAAAGCGATTAAAGGTCGAATTAGAAGGCAGCTGGGGAATCGATTTAAATATCTGGTAATCTAGGGTCTTCCGATACGAATCGGCCCGTGTAATCCCAGCTGATGCCGATGCTGATTCCGATGCTGATGAGGAGGCATGCCGGGCACAATGGATGGCTGAGACAAGAGTCGCCGAGCGGAACCTAGATGGGACACTCGGCCGTCGGAGGCGAGTGCATTGTGCTCTGGAGTGCACTTAAAGGATTTTTTACAGGGCGGTAAGACGAAGGAGCAGGCAGAAACGAGGCAGAATGAAAATCAACAAATGATGACAACTACCCGGGCATAGGACCACCAGCTACCCCCGATGATTTGGTCCTTCGCTGCTGGGCTGCTCGCGTTTCGAGTGTGTTTGTCCTTTCAAAATGTTTTTCTTTTCTAGCGACTTGAGTGCTTGGCGTATTCTACTAATTTTATTTCTGCACGCCCCGTGGAATCCAGAATCCTGTTGACAAAAATCTCAAATGTGTGCTCGACCGTGCGCCGTCTGTCTGCCATAATAACCATCCGACCATTCATCCATCCATCCATCCATCCATCCATCCATTTATCCAGGTCCCTGCAGCGATCCCGAATGAGCAGGTAGTCCGTCATTGATTCCTATTCGCGCGTGTTTAATTCCCAAATCAGCGCTCTGAGATCTTGAGATCCTCGTCCTCAGAGCGATGTCATCCGTTTGTTTGTTTTGTATTTTTTTTTTTTTTATTATTATTTTCGGGGGATTGGGATTCGCAACGCTTTGTTTGGGTTTTTTCGCTTTGTCTTGTTTGTGCGGCAGCCGCTGATCTTATCAACGTTTTGTTTCGTGAGGCATTAAAAATTTGTCATTTGTTCCCCATTGAGTCCCGGTTTTGTGTGAGCTCGATTGTCACCCGACTTGTCATCGCATCTCCTCCATTTGGCCAACTGTTTTTATTTCCCCGCAAAGGAAGCAGCTGGTGGACCTCTTGGCAATCGGATCGCATCTCATTGGATCTTTTGCCTTTGAACTGCGGTTGTCCGAAGCAATTTGGTAATTGCTACCTCAAGGCGAACGTTGAATCGGTCTCCAAATTGCAGTAGCTACATAATTGGGGAGCGTAATCGAATTGGTTGTTTTCAACATGAGATAGAGGATTAAAAACCTTCAATTTCTGCTGAGTACGTTGTATTTCGGTTAGATTAGATTGATTATAATCAAACATTTCCGTCACTACAATGGAGTATTTTGGGCGGGATTGAAAAGCAATGGTAATGGGACTATAATCCCATAACCCACACACCTTATGTCCATTCAATTTTGCTGCAGTGGCATTTATTGTCGGGAATTTACCTCGCATCCGAACCATCGCATCCCGATGCACTCCTGTATTTGCAAATACTGATTATGTTTACATGCATACATCCCATGCCCAGTGTCCAAACAATGCTGCCAACTCAATTGTCCGGCCGGGGACAATGGGTCGTATGCGTAATGCCATATGAGCAGTGCTCCAGATGCGTAATGAAAATTGCAGCCGCCGCCGCCTGCGTTCTGTTGAGTTGAGTTGAGCTGCCAGGACAGAGTCCTGGACTCATGTCCTGGCTTGAGTAGACAAAATCAATTTGGTTTTGCGGTTTTCGGGCAGGACATATGGGGGCCCAAGGGCAGAATCGTCTGCCGGCCAGGAGCAATTTGCATTCCAGGACATGCAGGTCGCAAATGAAACCGATTCGGCGAACGAATCTGAATGGGCCGGTGTGACCCAGCTGCATTTTAGTATAAATGCATCAAAGTCAAAGCAAATTAGGGGGAGGAGTGGACCCGAATTTCGAGTGGAGGAGGCCTTTGAGTGGCCAATCGAAAGTTGCCAGCGTCAGCGAACAGTTGTCTAAATAAAACTTATGAAAGTTGGCTTACAAGCCGAACATTGAATACTTTTTAGACTGTGGTTTACTAAAACATTCTGAAAATGATTTAATTTAAAAGATTAGCACTTTTTAACCAACCAATTATTTAGTAATTTTTTTTAAATTAAAGTTATGTTCATCATAAGCAAATCATTATAAACAAAGATAAATCTGTATTATTTCAGATCCAAAAAGTGTATTCTCCATTACCACCTAGTTAATTATTATTTCAACTGTGTATTAATTAAACTAAAATATTAAATATTTCAGAGGTAAGTAATAAATGTTTGAATTCTCTCTTGAAAATGTTGGTATTTGGTCTACTTGCAAAAGCAATTCAGGAATACCATAAGTAACCAAACCAAGATATTAATGATTGGGATCTCAGAGCTCAAGTCCTCAATCTGTAAGGGCATCACGAAAGAAATGTTTCCAATGCCTTCGGAGAGGCAAACTATTATTTGCAGTTGTCAGCCAACCGCCTCCTCGACGAATTTTCTCGTGTTATTGAAAAACTTTTACCAACAGGCATGGCCCTGGGATGTTCGCAGAAGTCTCGCTCGCCCAGCAATGCTTCAGATTTAAATGAAGTGAAGTGAATTTAATGGTCAGCAGACATTTGTGCCTGGACAACTGTTTGCCCCGCTGGAGGGTCTGGATTTCCCCTTAAATCTCTCTGCCTCTCCTCCTGGATTTCCTCCTTCAGTCGAGTGGAGTTTTCCGTATCTGTGCTATATTTGCATAGTATATGTTTCAAGGGCTTGTCTGTCTGCATGGCTCACATGGAAGTTGGTTGGGTGTAACTATCAGCGCAAATGTACTTGAAAATTGTAATGAGCTCTAAGCTCGAGCGTCAACAACAAACAGTTTCAGTTTGGACTCATTCCGCATTCATCCTGCCATATGCTCGGATTATACTGGCCAGATGTAGGAGTTTGGTGGAGAGCGAACAGTTTGCAGTTACATTTTACAGTTTTACGGACAAGGACTTCGGTTCGATTGAGGAGCGCTTGGGAGCTTTTCCCAAATTGGAAAACCATCATCATCTGAAATGATGAGAGTTCGATTTTCACGATTTTGACTGCATGATATAGGAAATAAAGAACACCAATTAAAAACGCAGGCTTTCGTTATTTCGCTTGAATTCATCTTGAATTTTTTAATAAAATAAAATTATTAAGAAATAGGGAAAGTATTTACAAATATTTTTCAAAAAAAGACCAAAAAGAGTGGCACGTAATTCATTGTTTAAACACAAGTAATTATGACGCACAATAAAAATTTAACCATGAATAATTTGTAATTATTTGCAGTGACAAAAATATATGGTAAATCTGATAAATATATTAGATAGCGTTAAATGCTTTGTACAGCGCTTTTGTCGTTTGCTTATAATTTTTAATTTATATATACAAAGTAATAATATTTGCAATACTACCCCTTTTGCCTTCGGACTCTTGGTTGAATCTGTGGTGCTATTGGCTGATGCCGATGTGATATTGGCTGATGCCGATGTGATCTTGAGTGATGATGTCCTGAACTTGAGTGATGATGTCCTGATCTCGAGTGATGATGTAGTTCTTTTAGCTGTGGACGAAGGTCTGATATTTTCAATCCTTCGTAGCACGCAGATACAAGCCATGGGAATTCACACGGGTCTTGTTCATTTGGATCTGCCTTGATCGCGTTGCAATCTTGTTCCATTCGCTCAATTGCTTCATCGCTAAGTATCTTACCAAAAACCTTAGCGAACCCACCAGGTACAATCTCATTATCGGCAAGAAGTCCAATGTTTTCAAGGAAGCATCGAAAGAAACACTTGACTTTGGGATCGGGAATTTCCTGGTGGTGTCGGGCTTTAACTTCTTCGGCGGTCACTCCCTCTTGTGCAAGGCACATTTCCTTAACTTTGCCTGATTCCACCTATTGAAAATTAAGATGTCTTAAAAAGGGCATAAGTAGAGTATGAGCACCTACGAAAGCCGTTCGAAAAGCACCGACTAAGAACAAAAAAGTTATGAGGTTCATTTGGTTAATTTTACTAAGCTAATGCTCAACAATATATCCACTGTCAATGTTAGGAATAAAATAAGTGTTTTGCTAAATAAGTTAGTTCTGCTAGCGTGTTTTAATCTATAACCTATGTATATATTTTTTTTTCGCTTTTAATTAGCAACGGTTTTATAACCATGTTATTTCCTATTTGCTTAGGTCATTATAAAAACCTTGATAATTTGGGTTCTAAAATTAAAAATTCATAATAAATAATTTGTTCTCCTTTACAATTATATTCCATTTTTTTCAGCAATAGGCACAAAATGCTTCTCTAAATCGCTGAAATCGAGCTACGCCAACGGAGCTGGCTTTCATTAGCTTCCATAAAACACAATCGTCGAACTGGGGACTTGTGCTTTGAAAAGTGCATCGGGAAAAATGAAATCACGTCGCGCCAGTGCAGCAAATTCAAGTTAATTGAATTCCAAAGTAAGCATAATGCCAGCCGGCAGCAGCGGCTCAAAAAGCGAGCACACACTGTACAGCAGGAGGCATATTCCTGCAAAAAGTGGATGACGGCGGCAGTCAGTCAGTTGGGAGCGAAGGGGTAGGCATTTAAACTAAATTTAGCCTGAAATTGCTTCCTTTTTGCTGTCGGTTGTTGGCCATTCTGCTGCCGCTGTTGCCTGATGGTTGCCACTTTGCCGACAACACAAAATTCAATTACAATTGGCAGCAAAACCAGCAGCGGCAGCAGCACAGCAGCCACACAAAAACATCAGCAAAAACGAAAACGAAAGTCGCGCCTGCAACTCAAAAGCCAACGAACGATCGAAGCTGGCCAACAACCGGAGTGGCAACTGAAACCGAAACTGGAGCTAAGACCCAACCTGAAGCTGGAGCTGCAGCCAAAGCTAAATAAAGTTGGGGCTGCAATCCGGTTTCTTAATGTTTTCAGCACTTGCAATTATTTTATGCCGCCATCGTTTAAAGTGTCGGAAATTTGGTTCGGTAATTAAATGAAAATCAACGGCGACCAACGCCTGGCCACCGAAAAATGCCAAATAGAGTCGTTTAAAATGGGAAATACTCTTCAAATAGACTTCATTACCCCAACCGATTCACTGTAAACAAAAAAATAAATAAATTTAACTTTCTTGTAAAATTTTTAATCGAATGAAAATTCTTTTTTGTAAATTTGTTCATAATCTTTTCAGATATGGTTTCTCAAACCAACTGTAATAATAATATTACCTTCATTTTTCTCATACTCAAAAAAATAAAGGTCGTTCGTCCAAATCAATCAATTCTATAGCATTCTATTCATGTTCATTTAATTTAAAATTCAGCATTTGTATTAGCACTAAAAATGCCTTTATTATATTTTCTATGTTCATTTTAATGCAAAGCCCCTGTTGAGAGTGAGCCGCTTCAATTAAAGCAGAGTAAAGCTTTCTGAAAAAATGGTCTGTAACATGAAAAATATCAAAACTCGGGGCGTCTAGCAGCTGCAGCCAAACTAGTTCAACTTGTTGAAGTCGCTTTTCGCTGGCGTAATAACAGAGGCCCAAATCACACAGTCCCAATGAACGAACCTCTCTGCACAGTAATCAAAATACTTGTGGCAATAAAAACAACACAAAAACTGATATCAAAGAGTGAAGGGGGCCATAAGCCAAAGGGAAACCATAACAAATCAAAGCACTAATGAATATTGAGAGGCCACTAAAAGGAACACGCGGCAGGAGCAACAAATTAATATCGAAGAAATACCAAAATTCACATAATAATAAATGCAACTCGACGAGAAGTCGGGGCTAATAAAGGACTGGGAAGTAAGGAGCAACTTTTCCACCAGGATAATGAAGTGCCTGGTTGCGGGGAAGGTAGAGAACACCTGCCTAACAACCGCAGGATCGGAATGGCAATAGGAATGGGAATGAGACAGCAACTGCGGCCGAATGGAGGTAATAAAAATCGTATAAATAACCAAAGCTAAAGACAACAGCGGCAGAAGGACTTACAGGGCGCTTGAAATATTATACCGAGTAAGGGGTGAGTAAACTTTGCGGGAAGGGAAAGAGGATGGCTCGTTAATTTGCAATAAAATCCGATTATAACCACAAAAATGCGCCCATACAAGATATATACTCTTTGGTACTTATACTTAACCGAACCAAAGCAAACCAAACCCCCGCACAGGTGGAAATAAAAAGCCCGGAAGTCAAAGCCAACTTGTATCAATAAGTACGAAGTGGGGGGCGGGGTGGGCTTACATTGATATTAAAGCCCCGCTATAAATAAGACGCCCTCCACGCAGCCAAAGCCCACAAATTATAGCCAAGGTTTCAGCAACGGGGTGAGTTTTTTTCCCCAACTCCTTCCTTCAGGTGGCGGTTCTTCGCCAAACCAGACCGAATTGAGATAGCACTCGAATTTGCATTGCTCGGCGGTAACTGCAAGAGAGTCCCTTCCAAAGGGCATCAATTTGCCGAACTGCTTTGGGACCTGTCGCCCTTTTCCCCAATCGACTTTCTCCCACAGGCATTTTTAACCACTGCTGGGGATGAAGTCCTTCGAAGGGGTGGTTGCATGGCGGCATCTTAACTTCTTTTCCTACTTTTCTTATTGGGGTTAAATTATTGACTTAAAAAGGACTGGTTTCCAATCCTTCTTAATATTTAAGATTAGTAAATATTTGTCCCTATTTTAATAAATTAATATTAAATTATCCTGCTCTTGCAGAAAGTGTTTTGTCTTCAACCACAAAAACATTCAATATTAACAAGTTTGCATGAGAGATAATAGGAACTCCAAGTTGTCTTATACCTCTTTGTTATAGTATTTTACAAACACTTTAAAAAAACATTTATTATATCAGCCCAATCAATTTTTTTTAACTATAAAATTTTTCGTTGTGACATTATCTCCAATAAAGATGGCTTCCCAAAACAAATTAACACTCTTTTTAACACTGCAGACACCCTTGACAAAGCCCAAGATTTGCCTTACAATCCCCCACAAAGATTGAGCTTTAATTTAGACATTATTCAAAAATATCTGCCCTTTCCGGGTCCGCATTGGGCAGAAAAGTTATGTCTTCAGCAAACCCTGAACTCGGCATTTTTCTCCCTGCTCCACCCGACCGCAAAACAAATAAAAGTGTAAACACTGATTTGGCACGCGCCTTCCTTAGCCGAAAATTTATGCATAAAAAGACCGATCCCGAGACCCAGCCCCATTTCCCAACCCCCATTCCCCATTTCGTACACCCCCAAAAAGCAACCCCAAACACGGTAATTACCTGAGTCCTTACACGGAGGCGCACGCACACAACCGTAACACATATCCTGTGGGCGAGTCGAATGCAGAAGTTGAAGGTGAGGCATTCCCACTAGCGGCGCTGTCTGGCAAACTTTTCCTTTATCATTATTATCGGAGCAACATGCATATGAATATGGCTCTGCCCCGGAGTCATGTCTGCCTTGCCATCGCCATCGCCATCCCATCCCCAATCCTGAATCCTGGAGGTGTTATGGCCGGCTTCCGAGAGGACTTAACCGCTTTTGTAATGCATAATTTTGTTGGCTCGCAACCCCATCTTCGCCCCGCGGGGTGGATATATATACATATATATATATGCATAAATAATTTGAGTATTTTCGTCGTTGGGTTCTTTTTTTTTTGGTTTTTTTTGCCAGGTTAGCATGCGGAAAAATTTGTCTGCTGGCTTATTTTAAGCAAATTATGTATAATTATTCACAAATTAACGAGCAAACGAGCGAGAAGCGGAGGAAACATATTAATGTTTATTAAATGAACTGCCTGCTGTGGTGTCAGTTTATTGACTTCGCTTAGATCGTTTTTGGCAAGCCGGGCATTTATAATAATTTCATCATTTCCACAAACAATTTTGCAACAATTTAGTTAATTTATAGGCAGGCCTGCGTTTGCCTTAGCCTTCGAATAGCCGTTAAATTCACAAAGGACACGCAAGTCGCCAGACACAAAGCCCTTCTCCAGCAGCTTCTCCACTCCACTCTACTATACTCCACTCTACTATACTCCACTCTACTCCACTCCATTCCATTCCGATTTGAAGCAACCCAATCCAATCCGGTCCCATCCAGGTCGTCGGACGACGGCAATCAGACGATAAACTTATAAATGTTGCAGACGCCGCAGAAGCCGGGGCAGCCATACATATAGTAATTATGGCTATGGGCCACATTTGCCAACCGAGTTCGGGCAGTTCGAGTTGGATTCTCTGGCATAACAAAAACCAGAAAGTTTAAGCGCAGTTTGTCGTTGCCAAAGGACAACTAGAGCAGTCGATGAAGAAGTAAGCCAAAAGGGTTCAGACGGCGTTGAGAGTGGGTCTGAAACCGTTTATTAACTCACACAATAAGCAGTTCTTCTCTGGCTGAATCGTATCCACAAATTAACGGAAGCTAAATCAAGTTAGGAATGCCTTTTAAATTATTTCGTTTTGAGAGTGTTTTTCTACCTAAAAGAGGAGTGTTTCGAAAGTCTCTGCAAAAAGAAAATTGGCATTTCAAATGCTCAATTTAATTTCTGGACTAATTCTGAAATAATATGGGTAATAATATTGATTCCGTGGAATATACTTCAAAATGATTTTTACCACCGATCAATATATTTACTTGCTTTGATAATAATCGTTAAATTACAAATAATTGTTTTTTAAATGCGTTATTTTAGCAATTAATTTAAATACATATACTTTTATATTGCAGCTTGTCAATTAATTTGTTCCACCTAATGCATTTATTAATCTTTGAAACTATTTTAAGGTCGCCATCGTATGTATTGCCAAATACATGTTGACCTTTCCACTTTAAATAATTTGCCTATTAATCTTCGGGCTTGTATTAAATCATAATTTAATTGCCCCCAACGAAGATTTACCAATCTGGTGGGGCATTCCACTCGACTGGCAACCGCATTTCATCAGGGAGTTCGATTCGGCCATACATCATCGTCGAAGCCGCAAGTGACGAATACCGGAAAGGAGGACGACAGACGCAAGACGGGGGAAGGCTCTTAAATAAATGACTCTGCGG